ATTCCCCCTCCAGTGGCACGCGCTGTCGAGAGAAGAGCAAGCAAAATACTACGAGCTGGCCCGGAAGGAGCGACAGCTTCACATGCAGCTGTACCCCGGCTGGTCCGCACGGGATAACTACGTAGGTGGATCTTTTTCCTCGGGACTAGAGTCTGTGGGCAGGAGCTGGACGTCCACGTGGACGAAGGGAACTCTGGCTGCCAACTTGAGTCAAGCCTCAGAGCCATTCAGGCTGCCTCTGCTGGGACCGTCAGCTCCTCGTCCTAGCACCAGGCTCCGAGGCCCCCAGTGTGGCTCCGTCAGCATTCAGGGAGGAGGGAGGAGGCTGCTGTCCCAGCGTTCCAGCTCGGGACCCCTGAGGCCCGTTTGGGGGTGTCCATGCCTTCTTGCCCATGTCTTTGAAGAGACAGGGCTCTAGGATACATCCACTGGGGCCTCTCTGCTTCTCAGCAGTGGTCCCTGGGGTGGCCTCCCGAGGAAGTGGGTGGGTGGAGGGAGAGAGTTTAATTCCTCGCAGATCTTCCAGCAGGGTCTTCACCCATAAGAGGGAAAATCGAAACAATTGCCTTAGTCTTTGGTGCAATAGAAGTTGGGAGCCTCGTTCATCCTGAGAGGGGCATGATGGGAATATCCCTGAAAGCAGCCAGTAGAAGTCATTCTTTGGCGGGAACCCAGCGAGGGTGGGCGAAAGGGTGTGTCTTGTGTGCTAGATGTGTTCCTCGACTCTGTTGGCTGCAGAATATGCCTGATTTCCTCTCCTGGGCTTTAGAATACACTGTCGGATGGGTTTTTTGTTTGTTTTGTTTTTACTAATTGCAATGGTTGTGACACTCACGACTCTTCTCCCATAAACGCAGTCCTCTGGGGCCTCTGTCCCCACCCCTCGCCGTGTTTTCTCCCTCTCGGTTTTGCCCGTTAGCTCAAGGCCTGGGCTGTCTGTCCTTTCTAGGGGGATGAAATGTCTCTTTTTTTGCCTGATACTTTATTACATAGTGTTTGGTTATGTGAAATGATTTTTACCACCCACTTTTAGGGGGTGGTGGAACAAAACTGATCTTAATGCAGCAACAGGCTCCTCATCCTGTTCCTTGTCGGTGTCCTGGAGCCACCGACGGTTTTTTCACGTCAGTGCACCTACCCTGACTCCGTGGACATCCTCCGTGGTGAAGACTCTCACTCTGTATGCGAGATCCATTCAGCCATTGCTGGTGGCACTCACTGTGCACATGGTATTGTGGGGATTCTGAGCTGAATCAGACACATTTACCTTCTCTAACTCAGTTGCCATCAACAAGTCACATGATCTGCAGGAGCACGTGAGACCTGGGGGAAGGCGCCTTTGCACACGTGCTTGCCTGCTCTTCATGGTGTGGGTGAGGGAGAATGGAGAACCGAGACCTTTGGGCTCAACTCCCATATGCTCC